TTCGATTCAATTTGAAAAAATCAAATCAAATTCAAATTGCTTAAATATTTGATTTGATTCGATTTTGAGGAACCCTAATATTACGTATTTTTTATAATAATACAATAAATTGACTTAAGGATGCTGAAATTTGCCAAGAAAAGTCATGATAGATTATTTTTTTGAGAAAAAGAGAACGAAAGTTCAATGAAGCAATCATGGGGATTCTTGATTCCTAAATACTATAATTATAGCTTTGAAAATTTCTATGCAACAGTTATCAAGCGAGCTTATAGGAATTATAAGAAGAGACCTGAATCTTTAGCAAAATAAGCCAAAAAATATTTCAAATTTTTTCTCTTGCAATATTCTAGAAAAATAATATATTAACTGATATGTATACTTACTCCGGAGAGATGGACTATTCTACTATATGAGGTTTACCTATTTCAACTGAAATACATTATATAACGTTACCAGGTCATAGTTTAAGTAAATGAATGAAATCTATATGCATTATCCCTAATGCCTTTCTAAATATCGAGATCTTTAATGCATATCCTACATATCCTTATTTTCGAACACAAAATTTTGGCGTAAGGATCTGTTACATATTCTCCTGTCCCTTCCTAAAGAGAACGCAAATAGAGTCATTTAAAAGAGTAGTATGGAAAAAAAATTATGTTTTGTCATTGATAACCTCACATTATATCAGTATATTTTTATTAATATTTTTTACTATGTCGAATTTAGTAGCTAAGGTTGAAGCTCTTTTATTACAAGAATCATTTGATACTCTTTATGGGACGTCCGTAGTTTATTTAACAATAGAGGATAATATTCTACCTACATATGAGAAAGTATGGAAAATAGTTGACCGGGCAGTCAATTCATCATTAGTGAAGCTAACAAATCTTGGTCGAAGAACTAATCTATTAGAAATATTACCACAGATATGACATAAATGATATTTTATTTCTGTTTCTTACTTTAGTGATGAGCGCTATAATAGATGTAGGTTTTAGTATAGTTTTGGTTTGTCATAGCTAAAGGTCAGGGAGTGCTAGCCCAGAAGATCTATGTCTTAGGATGTTGAGGGTTTCTGCTTCTCTCTACTGTGCGTGATTATCCAACCAAAATAATAATGATATGCCTTTTTAAAAGTTTCTGAAAATACACGTATAACAGGAATTATAATTTATAAATTTAGGATTGAAATAATATACCAGTACTTTTTATCACATCTACTGTAGGTGGAAAGTGGATATATCAGTATTTGCAGATTAAAAGCATTAAAAGTATTGAATATGGATAGAGAATTACTTATGGATCATACTCAGGAAGAAATAGAACAAAATCTTAATATGTTAAAATCTAAACTTGAGGTGATTATTATGCCGTTTGAAGATTTCATATGTTTTAAAACTAACAAGCTTTTGTGCTTAGCATCTTACAACAGAAGCGGACATAAATCTTTATGGTTCACTTAAACAAAGTTTAGCGAGTATAGACTCTTCAGATCTCACATGGCGGGACCCTGAAACAAGTATGGTTTTAAGTGATAATTCAGACATCATGAAAAACTTGGGAAGTAGACAAAAAAATATCTTCATAGAACTTCGAAAAAATATGAAATGTGTCCTTCCTGATTCAGTTGTCACTAAGTGTGTTAATTTTGTGGAAGTTTTCAATAATATGAAGAATGCAAGGTCTAAGAAGAACATACTTCACAATAAAAAATGGAAAAAAAGCGAGACGGATTTAGTAAAGATAACAGAACGTATTTTAGGCATAATGTAAGTTGCTTGTTTATTCAAAAATTGATAGAATATTACTGTATTAATTACGTTTTCTTTTATCAGTAGTGAAATATGAAGCAATCCCGCATTTATGACTAGTATATCTTACAGTGAACAGAGTGAAGGAACATATATGGCAGATATCATAATTCCTTTACTTCGAATGAGTTTGAGTGATATTCTGAATGATGCTATTTATCTAAGCATAGCTGAACGTCAAAGTATAGCAAGCAAGGTTCAGAGAAATCTAGGAATAATTAGAGAACAGATGGGAAAAAAACCTAACATTATGGGTTTAGTGAAGCAAGATGAAAAAATTATTAAGCTATTGTATACCAAATCATCGTGTATCATATGTAGTAACTCAAAAAAATCAGATGACGAAGTTAAATTATGGAGAGAAACATTGGATGAGGCAAGTTATATCAGTATATTATGTAGACCAGTTGGTAATCAATTTGGTGTTATAGGAATTCAGATCGCGGGTATCACTATGTATCTAAATATTCTTGTGAAGGATTTGGCTAGTATACCAAGATACTTTCATCTAGATCATGCGGAAATTCTATTATCCCTCACCAGTCACGCCTAAAATCTCTCATTTGTTTACTTTTAACCTTGAGAAATGTAATAATCGTAAATAGGAGTCTTATAATGCAGGCATTAGAACAAGCTACCTCACATTTGCCCCGAAATGTTAATCCAAGTCCTACCATTTTCATGCCCCCATATAATAAATAGTTAGTGTAATTTCATGTATTTTATCATAGAAATATCATGTATTACGAACAAGTTCCCTGAACCTTTGTATTTATATTTCTGTATCAATAAAGGAACCCTGGCTGTTGATTTCATAAATATACATATTTTATTTCTTGGCAATTTTCAGCCAAGGCGTTCCGGTCAAAATCACATGATTTTTTTGCTGACCAATGACTAGGATGTCACATGAAATTCTTGATCAGAGCTAATATATCTAGCCGATCTGTCAGATGTGTCACGAAACTGATGCGTGAATTTATTAGTACAATAAACTATTTCATTGCTATGACCTAATGCAGTGATGAGTTTTAGACACGTTTTTTAGTTTTGGACAAGGTTTTGGACATATGAAATTATGTCCAAAACCTGTCCAAAGCTACCTAAAATTGTCCAATTTCCCAACACTGACCTAATGGGTATATTCTTTGTCTGCAAACTTTTTTTGCGTAAAACTATATCTAATAAAATGTTCTATTCTAATTATAAACATATTATTGATAGATTACCTAAAAGTCTTGTCAAAAGAGTGTGCGAGAGACTCTTATACCATTCTAAAGATACTATTCCATTAGAATCTATTTCTGGAAAGTCCAAACAAATTGAATCTTATTTGAGGCACACATTAGAGATTTATGAGAATTCATTAAATAGGAAACGCA